ATATATTATTTGGCAACTTGGAAACACATTTGTCACTTTTCTCATAAAACTACGACAGCTACAGAGTAGAAAGTTGGCAAGTACCTACAAAAAATATAAATAGGTCCTGATGACGGAGCCTGATTTATGATTTACTCATTTCCTGAAATTAGAAAAATATATTTGACAAAAAGTTCCCGTCCTTCTTTGGACTTTGCGATTAGATATATTCCACTGAGAAACACATTTTCAATGCTTTAGAAGCTCCAAAAAAGAATGTGATTTTTAGGGAGGAGTTCCGCAGAGGGCCGGCGTTTACCGTGACAAGGTCCAGTGAACAAACTACACAAGAGTTTGTTAGTGTTAGGGTCTGGGTTAGGGTTAGGGTTTAGGGGTTAGGGGTTAGGGTTAGGGTGTGCCCCGCTCAAAATATCCCGTCGTTTGTGTGTTGGTGGTCGGCCGGCCCTCTGCGGAACTCCTTCCGCTTTTTAATACAAATAAATCATGAAATATCAAGATAAAATATTATAGGTTTTACAATTGACTGATAAATTGTTATAAATGTCTGTCCGTGCTTTCAATCAATATTAAGAGAGGCCGATGTTGGAAAAATGTTTTTTGCACATACATGTTTCTTGCCCATACATGAACAGATTATCCTCTTGGTGCCATAACGTGTCTACTCCACCAATCAGTTGCAAATATTTTCTTGTTTCTTAATGTGGGTTGGAATGGATGAGGGTGCAATTAATGACAGATCCTGCTTTTCGTCTTTCCCTCTTTTGTTTGTTCCTCTAAGTCTTACTTTTTTTTCGTGAAAAAAATGACCACTAATAGACTATTACATCAATGTGTTATTCTTCAATTACTCAAAATTGGTTGACGGGTGCTCTGGTGTGTCTTGCTTCTTCTTCCCTATCAAACATCTATCGTCCTGATCTCTCCTCCTTCTTTTTTGTGTTTGTTACTCTCTTGCAACATCTCTAATCTTCGACACTTATTTGACCTTATTGTTTTGCAAATGCTGTAAAACACTTACTAAAACTACAGCTCAAAATTTAGCTTTTCAAACTGATTTTATTTTAAATTTATTTTTCTCAGAAAACTACCACTCATTAGACGTTTGGTCAAGAAGACACTGGTGTTATCAGTAAGGCTACCATATAAGGTCAAAGGCCAAACAAAAAGCTGGTAGTGCTTGTTTGTTCCTTTGAGTATACATTTTACAGAACCATGGACACAATCCTGGTAGGGAAGCACTAACAAGCTGCAGGGAGCAATCCAGTATAATTATTATGTCACTTCAACACTCAATCTTAAACTCACCAGGTAGCTCTTCCCACCCACATCTATTCCTGCCACCCCCCCCCCTTTCCCGAAAAAAGCCGACCTACACCGCAATGGGGCTATACAGATAGGTTGATAGGAAGCTAGGTGGATAGGCTAGGTTCAGAATGGGATTTTGTAGGGAGTATTGCCATGGCCATGGTGGGAGAGAGTTGAGGGGGTAGTTTAGTTGCTTTCAATTTATCGGGGTGGGGGTGAGAGGGGTGGCCGGGGCTGATTGAGGCGGGGGTTGTTGTTGTTGTTGTTGTTTTGTTTTGTTTTGTTGTTTTTTGTGTTTTTTTTTTGGGGGGGGGGGTTAGGGGGGGTGGGGAGAACGGGAGCGGCAGAAGTCGAATTACGTTTGCTGATCGGCCTGCTGATTTTAAGCTTGAATGTTGAAGTGCCTTTTGTATACTGGATTGCTCCTTGCAGCTTGTTGGCGTTGTGCTGTCAGAATTGTGTCAGTGGTCTGTAAAATGTATACTCAATGGATGAAACAAACACTGCTAGCTGTTTTTTTGGCTTCTGACCTTCTGTGATAGGTACTCTGATACCACCAGTTGGTCAGGAGGACAGCCTACAGAACCACCTATATGACTGGAAGACCATCAGTAAGAAGTGATGAATGATGGTCGGCCTCAGAAGGTAATTGTCTTTGAAATGTCTTGCGGCTCTGCTCTCTGACTTGAGATGTGTGAAGTGTGCTGACAAAATTAGTTACTTCTCAGATTCAAGCCATAAGGAAATATATACAGCATGCTTATAGGTGAAGTTTTCACCTTTTATAAGTATAAGATAATAAAAGACAGGTTATAGTTAAAGCAAATGGCATCAATTGAAAATCTACAATTTTGACCCTATTGTCGATTTTTGGCCAATATCTCCATTTGTGGATTGCGAGAAGTTACTCATTTTATCAGCACGCCTCACATATCATATAACTTATTATTTCTGTACTAAAACTGCAAGAATAATGATTGGTGAGTGAGAAAGTTTCATTTTTGCATTTAGGCGTTTCTCAATAACTGCCCCTAATTATCTGGGTCCTGAAAATACACCTTAACATTATAATTTTCTTATGATACTTGTAATTCATTCAAATGTTGTAAACAATAAAGGATCTGCAGTGTCATCTATGCATATTATATTTGTGAAAGTCCGTCACTTTCGCCACCCAAAACTTCGGAACCACTTAACTTTCGAATTTGAAAAAAAAGACAACTGTGATTCAGAATCATTTAAAGGGTGCACAGTTTTAGTTTTTACAAACACGCACAACAAAAATATTATGTCTTGCACCAAGAGTGTAACGACCGACATAACAACTTACTATATATAGGGAAATTGGGATGACAAAGAAGACTGGCCACTTCCAAATTTTCAGAATACAACTAGGAACAACTAGAGTCTAATCGGTGTAAAGACTTGCAAAATTGCAGAACCAGGTTGTAAAGCAAATGTTTGTGTTGGTTGTCACATACACAATAATAATTACACTGTGTCTAACTCTGAGAGTGTAACATTCGACACAACAACTTACAAAGGAAATTTAAATGATACAGTCGAACCTGCCCTGACGGCCACCTCTATAAGACGGCCACCTGTACAAACGGCCACTTTCCGTTTCCCCCCTTGCGTTTTTTCTATATAATTTAACTGTGTAAAACGGGCACCTGTCCAACGCGGCCGCGGCCACCATATTTTAACACACAACCCCTATCACACTAAGCAATAACACCCGTCTAAGACGGCCACCTTAGTGACTCCATTTCGTTTAGTCATAAATTGTGCTTTGGCCCCTGGCGTTGTGGGCGAGCCGTCATAATTCAATCCCCTGTCGCTGTTGTTAGGTAGTCCCTCAAACCGATCATGTTGCGTAGGCCCCTCCTACTGTTGACCAATAGTTACCAATTTTCAGCTGCTGGTGAGGTAAGCGTGTGATCCCTCATAACCCATAAGCCCCGCCCAGAACTTAAACACAAATCGTAAGCGAGATGAGTGGTCACTGTTTACCCAGTCTGTAACAAAGTAACAAAGGACGTCAACATGAGCTTGTGACAGAAACGTCGCTCGTTCTCCGAGTGGTGGCGAACCCAGGAGTTTGTTTTTACTTCGCACTCGGTCTTCCTTGTCTGATACATTTCGTTTTATTGTCATCCTTTTGCGAAATCAGCAACAAAATAAAAATTACAAACAAAATACAAACCACCACCAACAACAACAACAAAAACAACAATGCGGCTACTTTCGATTGTGACCTCTGATAGGAATAATATTTTGTTTTCTTCTTCTTGATCAGTCCTGCCTAAGACGGCCACCTGTCTTATACGGTCACTTTTCTCCTTGACAATGGGTGGCCGTCTTACACAGGTTTGACTGTATATAAAGACTGCTTCCAGATACTATGATCAAAACTAGACACGGCTAGAACTTAGACAGTAAAACGTTCCATGGTGAAACTGCAGAGTTTGCTTACATGCTTGTAAAACAAAATTATTTGTTGTTGGTTTTTTTACGACCAGATATATACACAAAGATGACGCTGGCCAGCTGCTAAATGTCCCAGGCCAAATATTTCCAAATCTTCCTTTATTGCCCTTTTTATTCGGTTGCGTGTTGTCGAAAAAAATTTCGTCGAAATTCAGGTTCTAAATGTTGGAAAAAGCCAAGAAAAATAAAGTCCCTTGCACGCAAGTCGGTAAAATCACTGGTGATCAATAAATGCATGCCATGTAGTCCTGAGCAGCATAATAATAATAATAATACCATAATAATAATAATAATAATAATAATAATAATAATAATAATAATAATAATAATAATGATAATAATAATAATAATAATAATAATGTGAACGCTCTATTACCATCTGCATGGCCACGGGCTACAGTGACAGGTGCCTGCCCAGACAGATGTCTTCATCTTGGAAACATTTGCCATGATCTTCCTAGATGTGCCAAAAATGTTTACATATCTGGGCTTACTGATGACAATAAGGGGGTTATATTTAATTGCAGTTCTAAGACTTGTGAATGAGATCCTGATGTTGAGCGGGAGAGGGTGAATTTAGGATGGGCTATTGAACGACCCATGGATGTTCAACTAGTCATAGGAAACAAAAAGGGAGGAGGTGGACTGACTTCTGATACATTTTCATCTTGCATCGTAGACTACGTAAGATCCCTTGCCAAAACATATGACAGAATAATAGTGATGGATGCCTTCACCAAATTAATTAAACTGCTACAATCACCAGTGTCATTCAGTCTTAGCTCGCGAGCTCAACATCATATCTGAACAGAAGTATCTCTCAAAGGAACAACTCAATTAGAGGCATATAGCGTTCGCGGCTTCATTGAGCAATTCCTCAAACGCTATAATACACGTACATTCTGACATCGTTAATGTCTTCAGACTGGCGCGCCCAAACTCTCAACCATAGTACAAAGTCAAAGCTTATACCGTATTTTCCTTAGCAAATATTCACCAGCACAATAATACTCGACCAATCGACTAGGAAGAAAAACAGGGAACGCAAAAGTGGTTGACGTTCAGGTGCTCCGTTATTCCCCACAAGAGGACATGCAGTACACGCTCGCTTTCTGTGACGACTGGCAAGACACGCTCAAACCACCTCACCACACACTGTCAAGCATTAGCTCTACTGCCGTTGTACTAAACTCTTGCAGAGAAGACTTATCACGAGTACAAAACTCAAACATTTACAGGAGTGAATCCGGTTGAGGACCATGCCCTTTATAAAACCTTAGAATGAAACTAGATGATCCCCACCTCCTTCAGTTGCAAATAACTTCACTTTTATTCAAGGCACATGGGTATATTTTTCATCCGAAGATAGACTAATGAATAACCTTTAAGATGGCACACTAACTCCACATCCCAAAAAATGACAAGCGCCTAATTCCACGACGTCGTGACACATATTATATGATAAGATCTCTTCTGTCATTCTAATTTTTTTTAAATATTATATCATTATACAATAATGCTTGATTAGGGCAGTACCGCTATCACTTTTAAAATATAGACCTATGCACTGACATTTCTTGATTTTGTCTAATTTGAAAATTGGTTACCTTGGAAAAAGGAAAGACAGCAAGAATGACATTCTGATAACAAGCGATTCCAGCAAATCGTTAATGGATAAAAAAGAACACTTGGTGATTTTGAGTAACTTTGATTTATTCACGATAAATATGTGCATTGCTAACACACGTTTTTTGTCATGTCTAAACCTCCAATCTCTCTTCTTAAAATCTGAGTTAGGAGGTCTGCATGGACAACTACGACATTCAAACTTTAGAGTCTAACTCGAACACACACACACACACACACACACACACACACACACACACACACACACACACACACACACACACACACACACACACATATTCGCTCACAAATACTCTCGTGAGATAAAGTGGGGACTATTCAGTACGGCTAATGATGGTGAAGGAATCAGAGAGCACGTTGGACGGCGCCCTTCTCTTCTGGTTGGGTTGTTGACCCCCACAGTACAGATACATATCACCTGGGGAGATAGGAGACAAACTTGTTCGTTAAAAAAGAGATTTTACGTTAAATAATTTGAGCTTTAAAAGAGCTCCTCACAAGTCACCCCTGTGCGAAAAAAATCGTGTTACGGTGAGATTCAACTATTATTTATAGCCTGGGACAAAACTACGCCGGTCTCAATAATTTTATAACCTTCTCTGCCAAACGTTTACACTATGGTTACGGTACCCAAATGGAGAGCAAAAACACCAGTCTCGCTTTTGCCACAAGCACCAGACACCTTCCCTTCATTGCGCTTCAGCTTCCTCCAGATTGAGTCAAATGGTGCGCTCCATCATGTAGGCCTACCAGAACTATGTCAAAATACATGATCTGGGATATCATAAATCAATGGCTCCACCCCACCTTCCTTAACGAACATCCTTGTAGAAGCTATACCCATGTCCGCCCTTTTGGCGTGCTATAATTATCAACCCATAAATTTATTTAATGAGCTGATCCCATACTAGGTTTTTTCAACTTCTGCTCACCAAGTTCAACGATCCATTGTCCATCTCGCCAGAAAGCCATGGACTCCCCAGAGATGGTTATAGACAACATCCTCGTCTGCTGGGATGGGATGAAGACACGAGTAAAGTAAGCCAGCTGCAGCTGGGGGACGGGCAAGGACTCGTTGACCCAGCTGATGTAGCACTGGACCACCTGTGGAAGTCACAAAGACGTAAGATGAGGTGGGGTAGGATGAGGTGGGGCTGGGTGGAGACACCGGCTTTACAGACTACGGCGCTCAAACTTGCAGCATGTAGGCCAGTTGAAACCCACAGGACGATATGTTGCAGATCCTATCTTACATCAAGGTTGAAATCCCCCCAAAAATGTATAACTCGGTCTGTTCGTAGATTTTTAAAGAATAAGCGTCTTAATTTCCCTCTATAATAAAGGATTTACACCTCCTGTTTTAAGAAATAGCTATGCATTCCATTACCCTTTACCCCCTATTTTAAGTCTATTCCCTGAATCAAGTCTGTTTATTGTGTGTATAAAACTTTTTTATTCACCATCAATAAACCCGACATTCGTAACCTTTGTTCCCTCTTTGAGGTATGTTCTCTAAATCAAGTCAGTTGATTTTGTGTACAATGTTCAGGTCTACTTTTTCGTAATCAACAAGCCCAACATTCGTAACCCTTTGTCTCCTGTTAGAAGTTTGTTTTCTGAATCCAGATTTTATGTATAAAACTTACTTCTTCGCCATCAATAGGCCCGACATTCGTAACAGCGAGCTGCAAGTCAAGGTCATTTCCTGCTTTGACGTTCTTGAAATACGTCATGTCGGCGTACAGGAACTGGGTGTAGGAGAGGCCATAGCCGAAAGGGTACAAAGGATCTCCTTTGAAATAGCGATACGTTCTCCCTTCCATGGAATAATTGACCATAGGTGGAATCTGAAAGCACAAATAGTCATAAGTGGCAAAATAAATTTACCACTTAAATATACCCCCTTCCTCCCGGTTTCCTCACCCTCCCCCCTTCCCCACTTATATACATACAAAGTTGGATAGCTTACATTTCATATGCGAACTAACAAACAATGATAGCGGAGGTCAATACTGAAAACATGGCATTTTGGTCCAATGGCCAACTCTCTGTAGCTAGTGAAAAATCTGGACCCTCAAACCGCAACTAAGTAAGATAACAGCAAGCAAAATGAATTAAATCTAATGTTCCTGAAAGACGCTAAAGATCACAAGAAGAGACAGACAAAGAAGTGAAAACATTAGACAATACGTCGACATATATCAAGCATAAAACAAATCCAAAGACAACACATAAGATTGTTTGGACACGTTATGAGGACGCAGCCACAACAGGCAGCCTCAGTGGCATACAATCTAAGATTCAATGGCTTGGAGGTAAAGGGAAGACCTAGAAAAAGACGGATTGATGGAGTCAGAGAGACTCCCCAAAGGCACAATATGACGATTCAAAGAGCAACACACCTGGCGCACTTCCGGCAATACATAATTACATATTATCCCCTCGACACCTTGCAGTATACCAGAGGACAGAAAAAGGAACGTAAAGTAGACCTACTCCTTTAGCTAGCAGTAACTTTGGCAGTCCCTCTGTTTACTCAGAAACTCCGTAAAACCGTTTTCATCGCATTTTTTAAATTATTACAAGAAACTCATTGACTTTTATTAACCTGAGAACTGTACAAGGGCCAAGTGCTGGGCAGTCTGCCTGCCGGGGAAGAATCCGGCCCAGTGTTGGTCAGTACGTTATACAGAGCCTGGCCCGTGGCCTGGGCGGGAAAAAAGCATTCCATGATGGCTGGCACACGGTATGACTCGTCGGCAAGTGTTATATTGAGAGGGCCGGCGGAGAAGAGAAGTAGGATGATCTTGGCTGAGCCACCTAGAGGGGGGAAACAAGGACAAACGTGATTAATCTTACAACAATATTGGGTTAAACAACGCGCTGCCTCAGAATTACAAAGTTCTATTTGACATTTTTGGGCTGTTTTCAGTTACTAAGACCACGAGATCAGAAGGCAAATGTAAGGCGTGCTGACAAAATGAGTTATTTCTTGCA